TACCATTTTCAACTCTTTCACTCACCATTCCTTCCTCATTCATCTTTGCCACAGCATTTTCTTCACGGCTAGCTTCCTGTTGTCGATCAGCGTCCAAGCGAGGATTCTTTTGTCCAGTGTGTTGTTGCTTGTTGCCAAGCTGCGATCCCTAAAGTACCGTAAATGCTGTATTAAACTGACACCCCGAGAAAATAATTTCACTTTTAAACGTGTTTTTTGTACGTTTGGGACAAAGGACCATCATTTAAAATGGTTTTGAACGAATTCTAAATTTTTGATTCATGTGATCCCCCCTTACCTACTTTTTGGATCGGTCGATTTTGAGGGGTTGAAAAAAAAGAATGACATGCCATTCTAATACAGCATTTACGGTAAATATTTTAACACGATCTAACAATCGATGCCTAAGCGGATACCGCGCGTTCTCGATATTTGTTGAAGAATTGATGCAAATCGACATGCATATCCGGGAAACACTCGATCGACGTGCGCTCCGCGTTGTCCAGGTCCGAGAGTTTGCTAAAAAGAAGCGATTAGCACGTTTTACAACGATAACATTGTCTTCTTTTTAATCAAAGGCTTTAAATTATTAGCTTTGCAATTTGTGTGACAACTTGAAAAAATGTTCGCTCAAACTTTTGACGGCAACCAATTTGTATCCAAAGTTTGCTTAACAAGTGCATTTCAGAAAAGCAACTTTTCTAACAAATTTTTGACGTTTTTGAGGGAAATTCCGCTCCAGACATGTCAAATTCGATAAAATTTGATAAATTTGCACATGTGCTGAAGGTTTTTAGCAAGATAATCACAAACTTTTATAGAAATACTTTGAAAAGCAGCTTTTCTCACAAATTTGTGATTATTTGACGTTCTTGAGGGAAAAACATGCCAAATTCGATAAAATTGCACTCGCACTGAGCACTTTCAACAAGATAAGCACTAAATTTTAAGCGAATTCTTCTAAAATGAAAAAAATGAAAAATGAAAATTCGCCGATGTTCTTTTATTTATACTTTCATTGAGAAAAATTTGCCTTTTCTGTAATATTTTTCTAATTGACTGAATATCTCCTTCAGCACATGTGTAAATTTATCAAATTTTCATCCCATGTTTGCATGTTTTAAGCAGAATTTCCCTCAAAAACGTCAAAATTTGTGAGAAAGGCTGCATTTCAAAGTTTTTCTACAAAAGTTTGTGATTATCTTGCTAAAAACCTTCAACACATGTGCAAATTTATCAAATTTTATCGAATTTGACATGTTTGGAGCGGAATTTCCCTCAAAAACGTCAAAAATTTGTTAGAAAAGTTGCTTTTCAAAGTTTTTCTATAAAAGTTTGTGATTATCTTGCTAAAAACCTTCAGCACATGTGTAAATGTATCAAGGTTTATCGATTCTGACCTATTTAGAGTATAATTTCTACCTAGGCAGCCAAAAATTTTGCCCAATTTCTCCCCAAAGCGTGTCCCTTTTTGCGTTTTTCTCTCAAGTTTCTTATTTTTACAAGATTTCATGCGAATTCTATTCTTTCCAGGGCCTACAACGGACTCAATTTGATCAAGAGCCGGCAAGAAATGGAAGCACCATTCGAATTGCATAAATGCACGGTGGGTGGTTAGAATTTGCACTTCACCAGCAGTTAGAGCATGATTTTATGTTTTACTCAATTCAGCATGTTAGATTAGTTTAATTTTGCCCAAAGCAAGCAATTCGTTGAAAATTTTGTCATTTCTCCGTAAAACGCTTCAAAATCGAATGTTTGTGCCAAATTTTTGGTTGATCGATGTGCTGAATTGATAGAATGGACCTTTTTGATTACTTTTATCTTGTTTTAACTCGAGTCTTCAAGTTTTAAATTGCTTGGAATTACTTTAAAAGCTTCCACACTCAATTCAGCATGTTCTTTTTCCTAGAAAATGCAAAATTCCAGAGAGAAGTGTTAAAGTTGTGCTCTAAATGCGTTTAGAGTAATCCTTTGTCATATTTTATAGCATTTCCCTATTCAGAAGTGCGCCCAATTACTGTTGTCTTCGTTCGAGGCGCGAAAACACGCTTTCACGCACATGACGTGAGTTTTTTGGTGTTTTGAATCTGCTTAACTTGAAGGCAGTATGAGATTTACATAAAGATATTCGACCAAGCTTGAGCTAAAGCAGTTAAAACTTGCTCAGGAACTGGGTCAGAACCAAGCTGACGACTTGTTTTTTGTTGGCTAGCCAAATTTTGGGCTTAATAGTCGCTTAAATAAGATATTTGATCGATCTTGTGCTAAAATTTGAGCTACAGCTGCAAAATCTGATTCAATTTATCACTAAAAGTTTGATTTTCATGTTTAATTTTTTCATGCTCAATCTCCTTTCATTTAGTGATTGCACATTATGCTGTGATGTGTGCGATTTCATGAGCGATTCTGAATTGAAGATCAATCAACACATCAACACTCATGACCCGCAAGCGAAGATGACATACCTGATGTGAGGATTTTTTAAAAAACAGCTTAAACAAGTGCTACAGCAAAATCTTGAGTGGAAATTCAAGATGTTGAAATGCACTTGTTGAGCAAGGATACAAATTGGTTGCCGTCAAAAGTTTGAGCGAACATTTTTTCAAGTTGTCACACAAATTGCAAAGCTAATAATTTAAAGCCTTTGATTAAAAAGAAGACAATGTTATCGTTGTAAAACGTGCTAATCGCTTCTTTTTAGCAAACTCTCGGACCTGGACAACGCGGAGCGCACGTCGATCGAGTGTTTCCCGGATATGCATGTCGATTTGCATCAATTCTTCAACAAATATCGAGAACGCGCGGTATCCGCTTAGGCATCGATTATTAGATCGTGTTAAAATATTTACCGTAAATGCTGTATTAGGATGGCATGTCATTCTTTTTTTTTTCAACCCCTCAAAATCGACCGATCCAAAAAGTAGGTAAGGGGGGATCACATGAATCAAAAATTTAGAATTCGTTCAAAACCATTTTAAATGATGGTCCTTTGTCCAAAACGTACAAAAAAACACGTTTAAAAGTGAAGTTATTTTCTCGTGGTGTCAGTTTAATACAGCATTTACGGTACTTTAGGGATCGCAGCTTGGCAACAAGCAACAACACACTGGACAAAAGAATCCTCGCTTGGACGCTGATCGACAACAGGAAGCTAGCCGTGAAGAAAATGCTGTGGCAAAGATGAATGAGGAAGGAATGGTGAGTGAAAGAGTTGAAAATGGTATCCAGAGGCTTGGACCTGCACTTGTAAGCGAGCCTGGCTCGGGTTAGACCCAGGCTTTTGCTTGGCCCAAGCGCTTTTTATGGGCTTTGTCCAGCCCTTCTGGCTTGCTCTTGGCCTTTTGGGCCTAGGAATTTCAAGAAGAAAAAGTTAAATGATAATTTTGGCATCTGGATGCTGAAGCATCCGCTGCAATGCTCCAAGAGGGGGCCAGTACGAGAGACATTGAGATGTATTCAAGTTTTAGAACCTTCAACAAGAGAATGTGGTGAAACCGGGCGAGAATGGCCAATTGAAAGCGGTTGAAAAGGAGGATCCGGTAAAGATTTGCACCAAAGTTTCAACGATCTCTCATATTTTAGTTCAAGAATTTCATCTACGATCCTCGCGCGGTGCCAATTGAGATCAGTGATGAAAGTATGGTGGTGGGTTTTGGTTTTGATAGTTCGTGGTAAGTCCAAGTCTTGCGAATCATTAATTCTTCAGGAATCTCCACCACTCCAGTCCACTTTGGATCCACAAGCCGTTGCATTCACTCCTCCAACAGTCAGCACCGCTGCCGTTGAGCGTTCGCGAGTTGAGGTTTGTTTGGGGGCAAGCGTTTTGACTCTGACTCAGTCTAACAAATATTTATCCTTTTTTAGCAATCGTCACCGATTGGGTTGATCCGCCAGCCGCCGCTTGATCCGCCAGCCGCCTCCTTCACTCCATCAACATTGCCTGTGGTCGACACCGCTTCTTCTTCTTTGGGTCAACGTGCTGAGGTTCGTTTGAAGGATTGACTCAAATCGGCCGTCTGGCTTCTGGATTGCTGGATTCTATTAGCCGGATCGGTTCACAAATGCTAAAGCTACATTGAAAATTTTCCCATTTAGCTTCAAGTTCAACGTGAGATTTCACGCGAGGCGCCCACCGACGCTCCTTCACTGACGCATGCTCGTGCCGTGGAAAATTTGATTTCTGGGTCGTTGGTGGGTTTTTTGAAAGGTCGACTTGTAACAAAAGAACGCAGAAAGTAAATTTGTAACTCTATGTAACTCTGCCAGTTGTAAACTGACTGTAAAAGGTCGTTGTAGGTGGAAAATAGTGCTATTTCGGAGCTTTGGTTCGTCAGATTTCACTAGAACTGACCGTTACAAGTAGAGTGTGCTCCTTGTTGACAGACAATTTGTCAGACAAATTTTCATTGACAACTTTTTTGTCAGACAATTGATCCGACAAACTTCCGACAACGCGTTTTCTAAAAGGTGCGCTTTTTAAGCAAAGCTATAAAGGTCGCGCGAAAAAAAATTTGCAAACTTTTCTTAAAATATAGTAATGGATAGTTTTATTTAAGGATTTAGGTTTTTTAGGGCGTGGATTTTTTTTTGGAATGGTTCTAGTGCAAATGTAGACAATAGGCCTGGTAAATTCGTAAATAATATCATTTTTTAATAGTGTTTCTTAACTTTTCCCGTTTTAAATGTTTTCTTTAATTTTACATAGCATTTAAAAAATTTTAAATTTTAGCGAAAGAGTATTAAAAAAAAAAAGAGCGCAAGATTTTAATGTACATTTGCATTTTGAAAAATTTGCTGATGCAAAGCATAGGGTTACGGTAGCTTATCCTTGGCGCGCGCTTTTTAGAAAACGCGTTGTCTGCAAGGAACACACTCTAGTTACAAGGATCATCATGCAACTTGCCACTTCGATAATTCAACACTTTTCTATTTTAGGAGCAGGTCTTGGTTGGTCAACGATCCGGAAACGATGGTTGGTCTTAGATATTTGAAATAGTAACGATAGTAGCTTTTCTTTTATTAGATTTTGGTCAATTTCTGTCTTTTTAGAGGATAAAATCACCGACGATGAAGCGCAAGCTATTCGAGAAGCTTGCACGCGTTTAAAGGCAACCTTGGGCGAAAAGGAAAGGGAGGAGGAGATGGTGAGAGTTATGATTATTTGAATTCTATGTTGTCCACCACAAAGCTTGTTTTACGGCTTATCTCTTATTTTTAGATGTACACGAAGCTCGGCGAGCAGCAGATGCAAATGGAAGAATTACGCAAATTGGTGAGTTTTAATTTGTTTTTGATGCCTTGTCGAGCTGTGCGCTCCAGCTTGCACGATTTCCGAATTTTGAGCGCCCTAGTGAGATTTGAACTCTTTTTTGCTATGTAACTGTGGTCAGCTGAAACTATGATCAACCGGAGCTACAGTAACTGGGTCAACTTTTAATGCGAAGAAACCTTGTGCCTTTCAGATAGCCTATTTCTCCAATAATTTTATCGGTTTTCTTTAGATTGCAATGGAGAAAGCGAAACGCCGAGTGATCAAACGGAACTGACTAAATGGAGTTGTCTAATCTTTTTATTATCGTTTCTATTTGATTTGTTTTGATGTTATAAGTACGTAATGTTATTCTTTTCGGTTGGTCGTTTAACTTTTGATCTAACGTTTACACATACATGCGAATTCTCGAGTTAATTTTTCACGAATAAAGCGTTGTAGACTTTTTGAGTTAGATTTAGCTAATGATTTTGAATTCGAAACGATTACGGTGAAGTTTGTTGTGAAACAACCTGAAATTGGCCATTATTAGGCATGATTAGCTTTACCTGGCTAATGATGCCAAATTGTAGCATGCAAGTTAGGAAATGGACTGCAGTAGAAAAGACCAAGGAGTACTGGTTATTCAGTTGATTTGAGACTTCTATTTGACACCAACTTATTCGCAGAGAGTCCCCCTCGCCAAAAATTACCGAAACTTTGACCATGTTTTTCTCGAAAGCCAGGGTCCATGGGGGGAAATACGTGTTTCTTAGAATTCTACGGGGGCATTTTCTAATACGGTTCCAATACGGCTCTTTCTTTGATCTAATACGGTTCCAATACGGCCCGGTTTCGAAAATCGGTGGTTAGTTGAAACAGTTCCCTAGTAAGTTCGATTTCAAGTTTCATTTGGTTCCTCGTAGCTTTTCTCTCCGTTCTTCTAAAATCGCGTAAGTCCGAAATCTTCCGAAACTACAACAAACATGCTGTTTTTGTTTTTGATTTTTGTACAATTTCAAGTTGAATTGTGCTTTTCGGACCACCACACCCATTTGTTTCGTCTTTTTCGTTGACAATCTGATCGAATATAAGCACTCTTTTTAAAGTCACAGAAGATAAAAGAAGCAAACGAGAGAGAGAGAGATTCACCCCGTTATCGGCCTTTGATCCGTTCAAAATGTTTCTTTTTCTTCTCCCAATTTTTTTCCACTTTCTTCGAGCTGATCTAACTTGCCCTAAAAATTACGATTACAACAGTGGTTTGGAGGCTTGCTTGTATGTTCCGGGGATACAAGGTGAGCAAAGCTTTGGAAATCAATTACACATTTTCCAGTCAGTTTTCCAAAAAGTTATTGCTTTAATTCGCGGTCATCCTGTAGGATCGTTAAGATAGTCTAAATGATAAATAAAATTGGCTATAATATTGAACTTCGACTTGAAAATACTTTTTCAATGATAAACCAATCATTTTCTTGAATTTTTCAGACTTGCTAGTCATTGTGCATACCGTAAATCTATTATATATAAGAGTTGTGTATGTCTGTCTGGCTGTCTGTGCGCACTATTCCTCCGCTTCCGGTGGGCCGTTTCAAATGACTTATAATTAGTTTGGCTTAGAATTCCATGTAGTTGTGCAACATGGTTTTAAATTCCTAAAAAACCAAAAGTGCCGATGCGGATGGGAGTCGAACCCGGGTTGTGTGGGCTAGAGACAAGCCGCATTAAGTTAACGTCTGGCCGAGTTAACGTCTCTCGAGCATGACCGAGCGGCTCTCAAACAAACGGAAGAGAGAGGTCGCCGCTTCGACTCCTCTCGCCGCCAAGTCTTTTCCTTTTTTGCTGTGAAGCTGCTGGTACTCTAATCCATCCTCATAATGAAGAGCGTACAATCGCGTAGTCTAACTTTGGCGTGGTGGTGGCGTTCTATTAGAGTATCGGTAAATTTCAGGGAAATTCGATGATGCTCTCTCGTTTTGTCGACAATCTGGCGGAGATCTTCTCTCAATTCACAACGCTTTTCAAAATGCATACATCGCGTCATTGCACAAAAGTCGATAGCATTTATTCAATTAGAAAATAGCAGAAATTTTAGACTTATTCCCTGATGGAAAGGGTTGGATCGGAGCTAACGATCAGGGAAATGGCAACTGGACATAGAGTGATGGGAAAAAATGGGATTATGATCGTTTATATCATACAAGTGGGTGATTAGAGCCGATGACAACATCAGTGACTGTGTTTTTTTAGTATTTGGGTCAAATGTTGGGGTGATATATTGTGATTGAGACTTTTGGGAAGTATATTCGGATTTTAATGTTTTTCCCTTGAAGAGGTACAATGGGAAAGTAATGAACTTTTTTCTGCAAAAGTTCTTTAAACTATTTGATAGCATTTCCGAAGCGCTAGGCGTCGGAACTGAATCAGAACTGAATGGGAATCGAATGGGAACCAAACGGGAACCAGATCAGAACCGATCCAGAACCGAATCTACCCAACGGTGTCAAGAAATTTTTTTGACACCCATTGACGACAAATTTCCAAATCCAGTGTTTAACGTCTAAAAAATGCTCATGTTGCAATGTATTCAAAGTTATCGACTATAAACCTCTCGATTTTCTAGATCATTTCGGCCCCGTCGCCTATATGGATGCTAGTGAGCAAGTGTGGTGGAAAGAGGCTCGCAACGTCACCTACTCGTTTCTTTGTGCTTCACCGGTGACCGGCTTGACAGAACTCACATCGACACCATCACCAATCACCATCAATCCCACCAATTATCCAGAACCGCTCAACTGCTTGCCATGTAAGTGTTTTGATGAAAGCTTGTTAAAGAAGTGGAGGAATTGGCGATATAAGCTAGATAATTTAAGTATTCTAAACTCATTTCACGTCACCCAAAGACGAGCCGAGTTTCACAGAACTCAAACTTTTCTAATAGTTGTTCTAGTTACATTTGCTATCACGAAAAGCCTGCTAAAAGATAAAACATTACCAAAGGTTTCAATAAGCTTTTTAAGAAACTTTCTGTATAGAAAAGGATGAGTATTTAATACTAAAACGTAGCTTAAAGACGTGGCTATTAAATGGTAAACCATTTAAAACAAATGGAATTCTTGATGTAATATAGTTCGTTTTCGGCGTCTCTAATCTATTGTTAGCCATATCTACGTCTGTTTGTCTGTCTGTTTGTCTGTCCGTCTGTCTCTCTGTCTGTCCGTCTGTCCGTCCATCTGTCTGTCCATCTGTATGTCTGTCTATCCGTCTGTCTGTCCATCTGTATGTCTGTCTATCCGTCTGTCCGTCTGTCCGTCCATCTGTCTGTCCATCTGTATGTCTGTCTATCCGTCTGTCTGTCCATCTGTCTATCTGTCTATCTGTCGGTCTGTCCGTCTGTCCATCTGTCTGTCCGTCTGTCTGTCTGTCTATCTATCTGTCTGTCTGTCTGTCCGTCTGTCCATCTGTCTGTCTGTCTGTCTGTCTGTCTGTCTGTCTGTCTGTCTGTCTGTCTGTCTATCTGTCTGTCTGTCTGTCTGTCTGTCTGTCTGCGTAGTTTTCCTCGTAAACATCTACTATCTGGTGCGTTTGAAGACAATATTTCGCTTTTAATGTCTTTAAAAATTTGTGTATCAAAAAATTCCACTTTTTGAAGCAAACACACATTATCTGGCATACAAAAACAAAAACAAAGCTGGGTTTTTCAATACGCAAACTCGCATGCTTAGAAAGGCTTTCATGCTCACGGCTTTCAGGCTTTCATTCAGAAATATATCGTTTCTGGTGCACTGATTGCATAAAAGGCAACGACTACAAGGCACTACTTGAAACGATCAAACAATAGCTCGAAGGGACAAAAGAAAAGGACGAAAAAAGCGTTTCATTTGTTGCAAACTTTGATTGTAACACAACTTTTGTGTTTTTCTTCTTTCTGAACGTTAAAACCGTAAAAACAATGACTTTTAGATGAGGAATCGTTTGCTGAGACTGAGCACATCACTGGCTGTGATGCCCATTCAGCGATTTTGCTCACGAGAGGTACTTTAAAAAGAGGTTTTGTTTTATAAAAGTACCTGGAAAAGATAAAAATCACCAGTTGCAACAGTAAAAATCTTTATTCAAAGTCACAAACTTGCTAAGTTAGCAAAAATTTGACTAGAGGCTATTTTAGTAGCGATTTTTTTATTTTAGAGTACATGGTGTCGCTTTGAAGTAAATAGTAGCAAATAAAAGCCATTTTTGAAAGGTTTTAATTAAATTTCGACTTGTTTAGAACTTTGTTAGTGTAATTTTGCCAATTCTACCTTTGTAAATGCTGGATTAAGCGCTCCTCAAATATTGGGTTACTGGATAAGTCCTGTTCGTTCTTTTTTTGACAGCAGACGGTCTCAAACTCAATCAATTCCAACGTATAATGGCTCATTAGAAAGCTGAATTCAAGATGAATAAAATGGTCAAAACGGTTTTTGAATTCATTTAATTTTGAACTTTTTACAGGCGTTTTAGTGAGCTCAGCCCAAAAAAGTGCCGAAATCGCTTTTCGATAGTTTTTTTGTTTGATAACATAGGCTAAAAAACGTAAAAAGCGCCTAAACCTTTTTCCGAGAACTTTCTTTCCAACCTTTCCAACCTTTCCAACCAACCTTTCCAACCAACCTTTCCAACCAACCATTCCAACCAACCATTCCAACCATTCCAACCAACCATTCCAACCAACCTTTCTAACCATTCCAACCATTCCAACCAACCATTCCAACCAACCATTCCAACCAACCATTCCAACCAACCTTTCTAACCATTCCAACCATTCCAACCAACCATTCCAACCATTCCAACCAACCATTCCAACCAACCTTTCTAACCAACCTTTCCAACCAACCTTTCCAACCAACCATTCCAACCATTCCAACCAACCATTCCAACCAACCTTTCTAACCATTCCAACCATTCCAACCAACCATTCCAACCATTCCAACCAACCATTCCAACCAACCATTCCAACCAACCTTTCCAACCAACCTTTCCAACCAACCATTCCAACCATTCCAACCAACCATTCCAACCAACCTTTCTAACCAACCTTTCCAACCAACCTTTCCAACCAACCATTCCAACCATTCCAACCAACCATTCCAACCAACCTTTCTAACCATTCCAACCATTCCAACCAACCATTCCAACCAACCATTCCAACCAACCTTTCCAACCAACCATTCCAACCAACCATTCCAACCAACCTTTCTAACCATTCCAACCAACCATTCCAACCAACCATTCCAACCAACCTTTCCAACCAACCTTTCCAACCAACCATTCCAACCATTCCAACCAACCATTCCAACCAACCTTTCTAACCATTCCAACCATTCCAACCAACCATTCCAACCAACCATTCCAACCAACCTTTCCAACCAACCATTCCAACCAACCTTTCTAACCTTTCTAACCTTTCCAACCATTCCAACCAACCATTCCAACCATTCCAACCTCTCCAACCAACCTTTCCAACCTTTCCAACCAACCTTCTAAAGACACGTCTTTTAATATGAACCGAACTTTTCAACCACCTTCTAAATCTTACCGGTTTTTATAGACTTATACAAAATCTGAAAGATTTGAGGGATAAAAAAAGGTCTGTCGCTCCTCAACAGACAGGTGCTTTCCCCCCTCCTCAGTTGACCGGGAAACCCGAGTCAAAATTTTCGATCACAGAAATTTCTTTCAATTTTCTTTTTCTCACAAATGGACAATCAACAAAATATTCATCTATCTGAAAAAGTGAATTTCAATAAAATTCCTGATTTACAATCAATTTTAGGCATCAGCGAGTCGTTTACGGTCGATCTACGAGTTCGCGAAGAAATCGCTGAGTAATGTGGACGAATTCTCGAGGTAAACCTTCGAAAAATTCGGCTTAAACTATTTTAAAGAGGTTTTTTGAACTTTTTTTGAAATTTTGATTTTTCAGGGTCGATCCTCGAGCCGTTTTCGTCAATAATGACTTGAATTTGAAGAGGATTGAGGTGATTGATGGATTTGTGTGACTTGAAGTCGATCGTGTATTTGATCGTCAATGTATTTGATCGTCAATGTAAACTAAAATGCAATTCAAGGCTTGCATCGAATCCCTTTTTTGCGATTTCACGAAAACTACTTTACCAAGCGTTCTGTTTTCTTTATCAGAACGCTTGCTTTTTCGACTACGCTCTTTAATAGAAAGAGCATAGTCGAAAACCCTAAAAAATACTTTGGAAGATCTACGGTCACTTTCAAAAAAAAGTTTCAGAATAAAACGAATAGATTTCAAGTCTTTCAAGCCTACAAGTTCAAGAAGTTTAACCAGTTACTTCTAGGAACAAGTAACTTCTAGAAATAAGTTGCTTCTTTCTAGTAACAAGCAACTTCTTCTAGTAACAGGTCGCTTCTAGTAACAAGTTACTTCTTCTAGTAAGAAGTTACTTCTAGTAACAAGCCACTTCTAGTAACAAGTAACTTCTAGTAACAAGTAACTTCTAGTAACAAGCCACTTCTAGTAACAAGTCACTTCTAGTAACAAGCTACTTCTTTCTAGTAACAAGCAACTTCTTCTAGTAACAGGTCACTTCTAGAAACAAGTAACTTCTTCTAGTAACAAGTAACTTCTTCTAATAGGTTGATGCATAAGTCTTTTCGTTTTTTTCGTACTTCTGTTAAAAAGTAACAAATTCACCAATTAATCTATAGTTTGCTCTATAAAAAAAGTGTTTTTTTGTTCAATTTGCATCTTTTTAAATGAATTTCGGTTCACTTTCAAGCAAATTCGAGAGTGAAAAACGCCTTTTTCGTAAAAATCTATAAAAAACTCTACGGGAAAAATTGGCTGAATGAATTTCTCTGAAATTTTGGCGAAATATCAAACTTTTTTTTTCTCTATCTTTTATCTATTGACACGAAGATAGGTTTTCTTTAGCTAAGGTGTCTAAACCGCATCATCGAGTTAGCCCTTTTTGACTACCCGACTTCATACTCTCAAGAAAATCCAGGCATTAAAGATTTTTAAATCCGTTTTAATGTTATTTTGCAGAAAAATAATTGCTTTTTCTAATGAAATCAACCGTAGTTTAATTGGTGCATTTGTTGGCTTGAAACGGCAGACGAAAAGGAACAAAAAGATTTATGCATCAACCTAATAGTAACAATTAACTTCTTCTAGTAACAAGCCACTTCTATTGGGTTGGGGAGAATGAGTCGGCGCCGAAAATCAAAAAAAATGTCTAAAACTTCTATTCGACTTCGTCAAATAATATGCGTTTGATATCAGTAGAATGGTTAACTAATTCTCTACAAAATCACATTTAAAAGAAAATTCAAACAGCGCCTCCGCTCAAGAAAAAGCCATTTTTTCACAAAAACTACAAATTGTGATCTAGAAAAAACCATTGGTGGGATCTTCCTGCAAATTTGGCAACTTAAGTAATTGAATGTGCTCTATCTTTTTTATATAAACACCAAAGAAGGTTTATGTGAAAGAAACTGTTCAAATGATGAGTCGGACTCTTTGCCATTTTAACCAGCTGCGTTTGGAAGTTCATAAACTCCACGAAAGAAAAGCTTTGTGGAATCTCTCAAAAGTGATTTTGTAGAGAAATAGTGGATCCTTTTGATGAAACCAAACGTATGTTTAAAGAAGGCTTTATGTGTGCTAAAAGTCCCTTTAAAGTTTGGCGCCGACTCATTCTCCCCAACCCAATAGTAACAAGTCTTTAATTTCCAGTGGTACGGCTTTGACTACGACTACACGTTGGCCGTTTACACCAGAGATCTGAACGAGTTGATTTACAATTTGGCGATCAAGAGATTGATAAAGGATTTTCATGTGGGTTTTTGTGAGATGCACTCTGCACTTTTGAGATGCATCGTTTGCACTCATTTGCACTTTATCTAATGCTTTAACTTCAGAATCACCTATAGAATTTTAGCAAATACTCAGTGCCAAGAAGGGTACTCAATTCGTTCCTCAATTCATTCCTCAATTCATTCATTTTCCAGTATCCAACGATTCTCCAAACGATTCCATACGATAAAGAATTCGCGATTCGAGGTCTTCACTATGACATTCAAAATTGTGTTCTTCTAAAAGTCGACGCTTTCTCGCAAATACAAAAAGGTTCATTTTACAATAATTTTGCAAAACAACTGTCTTCGCACTTAGATGTTCCTATTTACACAGATCACAACCTGCTTCCATATTTCTCTCTCTCTCTCTCTTACTATTGTCATCTAGTGATATTGTCATCCAGTGTTTCCTATCTTGATTGTTCCTGGTTCGAAGTTTTCGACTTGCTTGTGCTGGTGGTGGTTGTTCGACTTGCTTGTGCTCTAGCCATCCTTTCTCTGACCGTCGCTGCCACTCTTGTGCTCCACCTTGATTCTGGTCTTCCGATGGGCCTCTTCTCGTGGTAGCCACTATGATCCGTATCGTCCATCTGTCGTCTGTTCTTCTGGCTACGTGGCCGGCCCATCTGAGTCTTTTTCTCTCGATCACTTCCACTGGATCTCTGAGTCCCGAGAGGCGCATATTCTCTGATGGGCTTGGTCGAGCTGCGGCTTGGTCGAGCTGCGGCTTGGTCGAGCTGCGGCTTGGTCGAGCTGCGGCTTGGTCGAGCTGCGGCTTGGTCGAGCTGCGGCTTGGTCGAGCTGCGGCTTGGTCGAGCTGCGGCTTGGTCGAGCTGCGGCTTGGTCGAGCTGCGGCTTGGTCGAGCTGCGGCTTGGTCGAGCTGCGGCTTGGTCGAGCTGCGGCTTGGTCGAGCTGCGGCTTGGTCGAGCTGCTTCCTATTGTACCCGAGGAGGTTCCTTTCAAGGATGCGTTGTTCTCAGGGCTCTGTGGTCTGTGTCGTGGCCCAGATCTCTGTCCCGTAGCAGAGTGCCGAGAGGACGGTGCTGTCGAAGAGTGCTGAAGTGTGAAGGTGTGCCCGAGTCCTCTGGTGATTCTTGAGTATCTTTGTGACTTCTTTGATGCTTTCTAATCCCGATTCTTTGACGCTTGCCGGCTTCTTTAATGCTTGCTGGCTAAAATTAAGTCACTAAACAATTTGAAAAAATAAGTGCTAAAATCGTATTCTTAAGCTGAAAAACGGTAATTATGGTGTTTTTTTGGTACTTTTTGGGTACTTTTTGGTACTTTTTGGTACTTTTTGGTACTTTTTGGTATTCTTTGGGTACTTTTTGGTACTTTTTGGTATTCTTTGGGTACTTTTTGGTACTTTTTGGTACTTTTTGGTATTCTTTGGGTACTTTTTGGTACTTTTTGGTATTTTTTGGGTACTTTTTGGTACTTTTTGGGTACTTTTGGTACTTTTTGGTACTTTTTGGTACTTTTTGGTATTCTTTGGGTACTTTTTGGTACTTTTTGGTATTTTTTGGGTCCTTTTTGGTACTTTTTGGTACTTTTTTTCCAGTGAAATTGATATTTCCTAGTGAATTTGAATTTAAAAGTGGTTGGAAAACGAATAAGTTCTTTTCTTATTCTTTATTTTCTACAAAATTCGCAAAATCCTCATTTCAGGCACCGCCTATCGTGGGAAACGAGCGCTAGATGATGCGGAGATTTATTCACTGTACGGTGGGATCACTCTACCCGATGATAAGGGACGAGGGCTACCACAATTGATGGATTTGTTTAGGTGAGTGGTTAGAAGTTTAGAAGAGTACTTAGTACTCTTCTAAACGTACTTAGTACTCTTCTAAACGTACTTAGTACTCTTCTAAACGTACTTAGTACTCTTCTAAACGTACTTAGTACTCTTCTAAACGTACTTAGTACTCTTCTAAACTTCTAATCTAGTAGGACTAGAATTCATTTACAGAATCATCTTACCGTAAATACTATAATAGTACCCCCTCGTACAGTCGCGTAGTCGCAAAAGTCGTGTAGTGTTTTTTAGTATTTCATTTCTTTTCAAAGCGCCCGTACTTTCAAAGCGCTCCGCTTTGGCATCAAAAAATAGCCCTGAATCTAAGCTATTTTTTGATACCAAAGCGCGCATTGTAGCATAAACCAGTCTTGAGAAAAACTCGTTCAAAACTAGACTACGCAACACTCCGCACCGTCATTATGGGAGTGGGATACTATTAAAGTATTTACGGTAGGTGAATTCTAAATTCCCCCCGGGAATTTATCTAAGGGAATTCTAAATTCCTCTAGGGAATTTTTCCCCTAACATTCGCCGAGCTGGCAGCTACGCTCAAGGGCGCATTTTTCCAGGGCTTGTCTCATAGGAGGAGACTATAAATAGTTATAAATAGCTATAAATAGCTATAAATAGCTATAAATAGCTATAAATAGCTATAAATAGCTATAAATAGCTATAAATAGCTATAAATAGCTCTTTCTAGTTCTACAAACGACAATAAATAGAAAGTCGAAATGATGTGGGGTTTTTCTTTGATTTCTATCAAATCGTTTTCTTTCAGTTTACCCTTCTTCGGTCTCGTTTTGACAACCGTTCAATACTTTGACGATCACAAGATTCACTTTGACCCAAACAGTCTCTACCAAGATATAGCGGTTTGTGTTTTTTTTGGAAAAATAACACTAAAATTTAATCATTCTTTCTCAAAAATCATTTCTGATCATTTTGGAAAGATGTATTTGTCATTTTGAGTCATTTTGAGTCATTTTGAGCTTAAAAAAGTAAAAATTAACTTTCTGGAATGCCTGGATGGGCTCAAAAAGATTTTGACGTTTGAGCTGATCGTCTGAAACAATTTGATGTCTTAGCTGATCGTCTGAGATCGTCTGAAACAATTTGATGTCTTAGCTGATCGTCTGAAACAGCTGTCTGAAAGACTTTGATGTCTGAGCTGATCGTCTGGAACACTTTGATGTTTGATCCGATCGTCTGAAACACCTTGACATCTCAGCTGATCGTCTGAAACACTTTGATGTCTTAGCTGATCGTCTGAAACAGCTGTCTGAAAGACTTTGATGTCTGAGCTGATCGTCTGGAACACTTTGATGTTTGATCCGATCGTCTGAAACACCTTGACATCTCAGCTGATCGTCTGAAACACTTTGACGTCTCAGCTGATCGTCTGAAACACTTTGATGTCTGAGTTTGGGGTGCGACCCGCTTTAACCTTATCATCGAGGATGATTTTGCTTCAGAATAGCCGAATTGCACAAAGAAGGTTAAAAGGGTTTCCCCAAAGCGCTTACAACATAACAAGAACGCGCAGCATCCAACACAAGATTAATACTCGTCGGTGGCGACACAAATGTAAGCTCTCTCTACAAAATAAGCTCTCTCTACAATGTTAAACCAGTTATCTAAACCGGATTTAAAACCTGACGGGTAGCAGAAAGTAAGTTGAATTTATAATTTTACTATTTATTAGTACAAAACCAAAATGCAACAATACCCATTACAAAAAACAGAATGCGCATCAAAAGAAACAAACAAGTCCGCCCCCCAGAAAGAAGGCAAAAGCAACCCGCAGACCAAAAAAAAAACAATTTCGGGAAGAGAGAAAAGGGCGAAAAATGCGACGCGAATAATTGCAAAATAGCAACGCAAATAGGAAGGAAACGGACGCGACCTTTGAGCTGATCGTTTGAAACACTTTGATTTCTGATTTTCAACATGTGACACTGCACGTGTGGCTGACTGGTTAAAGGGGGGGTATTAATCGCGGCCGGGTGACGATAAAAATTTTTTTACGGCAACCACCTGTTGGGTTTATTTTAATATCGCTGATTTTATTATAAAAAGAATAAAAATCACCCGGCTAGAGTGATTTGATGGGTTTACAAATTTTTGGAGACACTGTAAGGCTTGGAGAAAAACAAGATCGTCACTCATCAGACACCTCAGCTAAAAGGCACCTATTTGAGAAAACTAAAACCACAAGCGACCACAAATGGAAAAAAGATCTAATTGTGTCAATTAAAGCGCTGAAGATGTCCTACGGTGTCAATTAAAGCGCTGAAGATGTCCTAGATTCAGTCACTTCTGGTGAAGATGCGCTGGAAATTGATAAGATAGGAAGCCGATTTGAGGAACTGCTGTACTTGAGCGAAGATGAAAGTGAGCAAGAGGAAGAATTAAAGATTAACAATTTATTTTTATTGTTTTTTGTGCTTTTTATTTTGTTTTTAAATTTATCTGCAATTAAAATTCAATCGATCTAGACTATGCTGAGGTGTCTGATGAGTGACGATCTTGTTTTTCTCCAAGCCTTGCAGTGTCTCCAAAAATTTGTAAACCCATCAAATCACTCTAGCCGGGTGATTTTTATTCTTTTTATAATAAAATCAGCGATATTAAAATAAACCCAACAGGTGGTTGCCGTAAAAAAATTTTTATCGTCACCCGGCCGCGATTAATACCCCCCCCCCCTTTAAGCTGACGATAAAGAGTGGATATTTGTATAATTAAACGGAATATCCAAAAAAGTCTGTTTTCTTTAAAAACTAATAACAGATTCGATCTAAACTAATAACAGATTCGATCTAAACACAGATTCGATCTAAACTAATAACAGATTCGAATTCCTCATCCTTGAAAACCCTTTCTTGCAAATTTTTAGCCCAATCGGCCTCAAAAAAAACACTAAATCGTCCCAAATGTGTTTAATTTTCATAATTTTTAAGATTTTATAAAAGCCTGCTGAATTTATGAAAAGCGGAATATACTATACAATAGTTAAGAACTATTTTAAACAGTTAAACTTTAAACATTTAGACTTTAGCTGACTGGTTAAGTGTCTTTTATCTTAATCGGAAGGTCGAGGGTTCGAACCCCACATGCGACATGGTCACCCCCTTCGGATTTCCTTTCCCTTCGGGTTGAGAGGTTTTCTGGAGGGCAGTCTGGTGGTTGTGGCCCCAGTTCTTTAAAGTGACAAGCCACTCCTTCATCGTCATCTTCCCTTCACCACCAAAAAAGCTATTTAGTTCCCCATTGAGCTTAGGGTTAGGGAGCCGTCTGTCATGACGTGGGTTAAGTTAAGATATAGCCTAGTATTGTGTGTGTCGTTGTATTGTGATTGATATATTTCGTGTATGCGATAAATTCACCACTGGTAGCCCCAGTCGGTATTTTTTAAGAGAGAAAAGGGCGAAAAATGCGACGCGAATAATTGCAAAATAGCAACGCAAATAGGAAGGAAACGGACGCGACCTTTGAGCTGATCGTTTGAAACAATTTGATTTCTGATTTTCAACATTTTTCAACGTTTTCTAACGTTTTCTAGTCAAAAGTTCAAAAAAACGTTTAAAATTTGACAGAAATTGGAGTGCTAAAGGAATTCGAGTGCTTTTTATTCAAAAAAAATGTAAACAGCTATTTTCTGGGCAGGCAGAGTGACTCTAAAAAAAGGTCAGTGCATTAAGAATCCAGAATCCCTTTAGGAATGCGTCAAACAGGTGCACGTCACCGGCGAAATGTACAAGAGTGTGCTGAGCAATATGGAGAAGTTTAGAAAAAAGGGCTTTCTTTCAAAAAAATTCGATTTGCAGATACGTTCACAAGAATCCGGGCCTCTCCGAGTACCTGCAACGGTTGCACAAAAGCGGCAAACATCTATTTATGATCACCAATAGTCCATTCACCTTTATGTATGGTTTAAAGAGTGATTTAGCTTTAGTAGGGCTTTAGTAGGGCTTTAGTAGGGCTTTAGTAGGGCTTTAGTAAGGCTTAGTAAGGCTTAGTAAGGGTTTAGTAAGCTTTAGCAAGCCTTAGCAAGACTTTAGTAAGCCTTGGTAAGCCTTAGCAAGACTTTAGTAAGCCTTAGCAAGACTTTAGTAAACCCTAGCAAGCCTTAGTAAGCCTTAGTAAGCTTTAGCAAGCCTTAGCAAGACTTTAGTAAGCCTTGGTAAGCCTTAGCAAGACTTTAGTAAGCCTTAGCAAGACTTTAGTAAACCCTAGCAAGCCTTAGTAAGCCTTAGTAAGCTTTAGCAAGCCTTAGCAAGACTTTAGTAAGCCTTGGTAAACCTTAGCAAGACTTTAGCAAGCCTTAGCAAGACTTTAGTAAGCCTTGGTAAGCCTTAGCAAGACTTTAGTAAGCCTTAGCAAGACTTTAGTAAACCCTAGCAAGCCTTAGTAAGCCTTAGTAAGCTTTAGCAAGCCTTAGCAAGACTTTAGTAAGCCTTGGTAAACCTTAGCAAGACTTTAGCAAGCCTTAGCAAGACTTTAGTAAGCCTTGGTAAGCCTTAGCAAGACTTTAGTAAGCCTTAGCAAGCCTTAGTAAGCCTTAGTAAGCTTTAGCAAGCCTTAGCAAGCCTTAGCAAGCCTTAGCAAGCCTTAGCAAGACTTTAGTAAGACTTTAGTAAGAAATAAATTTGAAATACCGTATTCTCTCTAATAGTAGTGCACCCTAAGCTTCGCCTAAATTCCTTGAAATCTCGAGAACCGCTTTAAATCGATGTGGGGTCGGAAAATGTCGCTGACGATGAGATCTAGTGGGAGATTAGAGTGTTGAGCTTCTGCGAAAGATTGGAAACCGTAAAATAGGCATCAACTCGGCTCGCCGGGGTATTAGAGAAAAGCCGGTAAAATCAAGTCATCAATCAACCCAATCAATCAACCAAATCACTCATTCAGGAATGCCGGGATGACGTACATGTTGGGACCGGATTGGCGAGAGCTCTTCACTCATGTCGTCGTGCAGGCTCGGAAACCCGATTTCTTTCAGGTTTTTGGCTGGCTTTGGCTTTGACTAAAGATTTACAAATTCCACAGTTTCATCATAAAAACTACAGCATAATATCATATGCATAGCGTCAATGCATAAATCTGATAAACCTTTTTTGCGAAAACTCGATTTTTTTTGAAACAAATCTATCGTTAACTATCGAAAAATGAAAACGTTGAAAATTCTAGAGCTAGAATTCTTTCTAGAACTTGCTAGAACTATTCTAGAACTAGAATTCTTCGAAAATTCGAAGTCAACTTTCAACTCTAGTTTTCAACTTTCAACTTTGAACTCTTTCCAGGGCAAAACCCCATTTCGTCTTTTCAACGAGACAACCGGCAATCTTCACTATGAAAAAGTTCAAGAGCTGGAGCCCGGAAAAGTCTATGCCGGGGTTTAATAGAAGCTTTTTCATTTAAAAAACAAATTTCAGGGAAACATTGGCGAATTCGCTTCAAAAGCGAGTCTAACCGGCAAAGGAGTTTTGTATTTCGGCGATCACATCTACACTGATTTGGCCGATCCAATGTTGAGGTTTGTTGGAGAGAGAGAGAGAGAGAGAGAGAGAGAGAGAGAGAGAGAAAGAGAGAGAGAAAGAGAGAGAGAGAAAATGACCTGACAAAATTGCTATTAGGTACATGCATAAGAAAAAAAATCCGGATTTCAACATTTTCATATTTCAACATTCAAATTCAACATTCAAATTCAACAAATTCAATTTCAAATTTCCAACGATAGAAACCTGATATTGATGAATGTTATAAACGATTTGAAAGTTGTAAATCTCCTCTACAAAATAAAACGTGTTTCAATTGATCGAAGCATTGAAGAAATTACGAGAGCGAAAGAGAAGAAAGCGAAGAAGAAAGCGAAGAAGAAAAGGAATCAAGGACAACAGATAGCGATAGGAGGAGGTGGACGGAGTGCGGGCAATGATGAGATGGCGGTGAGCACGAGAGGAGGCGGAGCAGTCCATACAACGAGCACATTCAAAGAGCAAAGAGGCGTCAGAGGGGGGAGAAGAGGACCGGGAGAAGATGAAACTGATAGTAATACGAGGCGGCGAGTAATGACGAGGCGGCGAGTAAGGACGAGGCGGCGAGTAAGGACGAGGCGGCGAGTAAGGACGAGGCGGCGAGTAAGGACGAGGCGGCGAGTAAGGACGAGGCGGCGAGTAAGGACGAGGCGGCGAGTAAGGACGAGGCGGCGAGTAAGGACGAGGCGGCGAGTAAGGACGAGGCGGCGAGTAAGGACGAGGCGGCGAGTAAGGACGAGGCGGCGAGTAAGGACGAGGCGGCGAGTAAGGACGAGGCGGCGAGTAAGGACGAGGCGGCGAGTAAGGACGAGGCGGCGAGTAAGGACGAGGCGGCGAGTAAGGACGAGGCGGCGAGTAAGGACGAGGCGGCGAGTAAGGACGAGGCGGCGAGTAAGGACGAGGCGGCGAGTAAGGACGAGGCGGCGAGTAAGGACGAGGCGCTCCCATCGACTACCTCCAAATGGCGGCGAGGTCAAGCGGACTGCGACGTCAATCGGAACTTATTCTTTGTTAATCTGAAAAAACAAAAAAGCAAAATAAAAACAAAAAGACGATACTTCCAATTAATCTAAAAAAAAAGCAAATGATTTGAAAATGAAAAAGAGAAGCGACGACGCGGCGCTCCCATCGACTACCTCCAAATGGCGGCGACGTCAATCGGAACGCGACGTCAATTGGACTGCGACGTCAATCGAAACTTATTCTCTTTGTTAATCTGAAAAAAAACAAATGATTTGAAAATAAAAAAGAAACGACGACGCGGCGCTCCCATCGACTACCTCCAAATGGCGGCGACGTCAATCGGAACGCGACGTCAATCGGAACGCGACGTCAATCGGAACGCGACGTCAATCGGAACGCGACGTCAATCGGAACGCGACGTCAATCGGAACGCGACGTCAATCGGAACGCGACGTCAATCGGAACGCGACGTCAATCGGAACGCGACGTCAATCGGAACGCGACGTCAATCGGAACGCGACGTCAATCGGAACGCGACGTCAATCGGAACGCGACGTCAATCGGAACGCGACGTCAATCGAAACTTATTCTCTTTGTTAATCTGAAAAAAAAACAAATGATTTGAAAATAAAAAAGAAACGACGACGCGGCGCTCCCATCGACTATCTCCAAATGGCGGCTACGTCAATTGGACTGCGACGTCAATCGGAACTTCTTCTCTTTGTTCTTTGTTCTCTTATTCAATTAAAATCGGCTATAAATAAGATAAATAAGAGTAAATTTTTACAAAGATTGGCTTAAAATTGGAAAAATTTGAGAAGTTTTGCTTAAATGAATGTTTTTTTCATTTTAGACTAGGCTGGCATACGGCAGCAATTGTGCCCGAGTTGGCCCGAGAGATCCGTGCACAAAATACCGATGAGTACAGGTGAGGCTTTGAACTGTATTTGGGTCAAAAGCTAATTTGGGTCAAAAGCTAGAATTGAAAAGGATAAAACGAATACTTTTACAGAAAATTCTAAAACTTTTGCGTTAAATGCGCTGAAATTGAGGTATTCAGCCGAAAAAGAGTTCGTCATTCAGTCAAATTCGCTGAATGCCCTAATCTAGACTGAATACCGTAATCCAGCTCATCTTAACTGAACATCCTAATCTAGACTGAATACCGTAATCCAGCCAACCCTAATCTAGACACCCATGTGCGTTTGTGCAGAAAGTTTTCATGTTTTCATGTTTTTATTTGCAGAAAGAGTGAGCGCGTTTATGCAGAATTTAAGCAGAATTTAAGCAGAATTTAGGCACTTTTTAAGCATTTTTGAAGCATTTTGATAAATTTTATTCAATTCAGACGCTCAATTCAATGGCTTGAAACGTTGACAAATCTCATCGCGAACTTTCAAGTGGACGGTCGGAGAAATGCCGAGTGCGGGCAGATCATCAATGAATGGGCCGAAGAGAGAAGGAAACTGCGGTCGGTTTTGAATTGAAAAAGAGTATTGTCCGATTCGATCACTGCACAGTTGTGTACATCCGATTTTCTGCACTATAGTGCCCCGGAAGGGACTAGTGCCCCCGGGAGGGACTAGTGCCCCCGGGAGGGACTAGTGCCCCGGGAGGGACTAGTGCCCCGGGAGGGACTATAGTGCCCCAGGAGGAACTAGTGCCCCTGGAGGAACTAGTGCCCCCGGGAGGGACTAGTGCCCCCTGGAGGGACTATAGTGCCCCAGGAGGAACTAGTGCCCCCGGGAGGGACTAGTACCCCCTGGAGGGACTAGTGCCCCCTGGAGGGACTATAGTGCCCCAGGAGGAACTAGTGCCCCCGGGAGGGACTAGTACCTCCTGGAGGGACTAGTGCCCCCTGGAGGGACTATAGTGCCCCCTGGAGGGAATATAGTGCCCCAGGAGGAACTAGTGCCCCCGGGAGGGACTATAGTGAGGTTGGGAGCACTATAGTTTTTCTAAAACCACTTTTTCTGGGGTATTTTTTTGCGTAGAGCACGAATTTCATAGTGAGAGCTTGGGAAAATGCGTTTTAAACGGACTTTCGGTGACTTAGACTGACTTTTAGAGGCCTGACGTTCGTTCGGCTTGACGTTCATAGTGTATTTCACTTTAAGAAGAAGAAGGGCTCAAAAAGGAACTTAATAAGCCTTTTCCTATCCAAAAAGACCTTTTCTGGAGTTAATTTAGAGTTCCAAGTGCAATGCGAATTAAATTTGAGTAGAAAAGTTGAAAATTTCGAGAAATTTCGCCTTTCTAGAAATTTGTCCATCCAGAAACATCCATTTGGTCTCTCAGTTTGACTTTTTAAGATCTACGAGCTTTTTTCATGTTCTGGACACTCAATTAAGCCAAAAGAAAGTGTTCTCGAATGTTGGAAAAAAAGAAAAATCCTCCGATGCCTTAGATGTGCTCTAGACAAAGACTTTAGACAAGCCCGGAGTGGAGTCCAGTGTAGTGGCGGCAACTTCCAGTCACCGAAAGTCGGCCTAAAACGCATTTTCTCAAGCGCTCACTATGAAATTCGTGATCTACGCAAAAAAGTATCCCAGAAAAAGTGGTTTTAGAAAAAGTATAGTTTAGAAAAACTTTTTAGAAAACGTTTTAAAAGTTTTGTAAACTGCGATCGCCTTGAGGCCCCGAATCTTTGCTAAACGAAACTCTTTTTCAAATCAAATTGATGTTTCGTACGTTCTGGATGTCACATAATATTTTGAGCTAGATTTTGAGCTAGATTTCGAGCATAATAGATGGGCTCTCTTTAGACAAGCCTGGAGTGGACTCCAATATAGTGGCGGCAACTTCCAGTCACCGAAAGTCGATCTAAAACTCATTTTCCCAAGCGCTCACTATGAAATTCGTGATCTACGCAAAAAAGTATCCCAGAAAAAGTAATTTTGAGGGAAATCTAATGGCCTAATGAAGGGGCACTTCAATCCCAACAAGTCAAAGTTTGATTCAAAGTTTGATTCAAACTTTGAGTCAAAGCTTTTCTTTAACTTTTTCATTCTAGAGAAAACGTGAAAGCGATCTTCAATCCACGATTTGGTTCCATGTTCCGAACTTATCACAATATGACGTTTTTCTCGAGGAGATTGATGAGGTTTGGTTTGGAATTTACTAGAGAGAAACGGGGAAAGACAGATTTGGCCAAATGAGATAAGACAAAAATCATTTGACGCAGAATTTCTGATTCTGAATCTGACGCTGTTTCCGACGCTGATTCCGATGCTGATTCCGAATCTGTTTCCTACGCTGATTCCGATGCTAATTCCGAATCTGTTTCCGACGCTGATTCCGATGCTAATTCCGAATCTGTTTCCGACGCTGATTCCGATGCTAATTCCGAATCTGTTTTCTGTTTTGGTTTTCTTTAAAAAGATGCTTTTCTTTAAAAAGATATACGTGTTTTAAGTTTTGGAAATGAAAATTCGAAAATTTGAAGCCGGGATGCTTTCATAAAGCTAGGGATACTTTTATAAAGGTTTTCTCATGGATCTTAAACGTGACTTGATGAAAATAGTGGCTAAAACGCTTACACATGAAACTAGCTCTCAATTTTTAGCTAAACTTTTCTTTTGTATTGCTCAAATTGGCATTCTAAAACTCAAAACTAGTATAATTTTTTATAGAAAGCCATTTGGTAAAAAAAAAAAGGAAAGCAGATTCGGAAACAGTGTGAAATTCTGCGTCGAATGATCGATGGTTGATCTCTTTAGCTACATTCTACTGTTGCCTTTCACTTGTTAAACTTTTCTTTTAGACTCTCCGATTTCTACACTTCTCGATTGCCGAATTTGCTGAAATATGATGTGGATCACTCATTTTTCCCACGAAGAAATGTGAGTGAAGGGAGAGCTGAAAGGAGAGCTGAAGGGAGAGCTGAAAGGGGAGCTGAAAGGGGAGCTGAAGGGAGAGCTGAAAGGGGAGCTGAAGGGGGAGCTGAAAGGGGAGCTGAAGGGAGAGCTGAAAGGGGAGCTGAAAGGAGAGGTGGAAGGAGAGCTGGAAGGAGAGCTGAAGGAAGAGCTGAAAGGAGAGCTGAAGGAAGAGCTGAAAGGGGAGCTGAAAGGGGAGCTGAAAGGGAAGCTGGAAGGAGAGCTGAAGGGAGAGGTGGAAGGAGAGCTGGAAGGAGAGCTGAAGGAAGAGCTGAAAGGGGAGCTGAAAGGGAAGCTGGAAGGAGAGCTGAAGGGAGAGGTGGAAGGAGAGCTGAAGGAAGAGCTGAAAGGAGAGCTGAAGGAAGAGCTGAAAGGGGAGCTGAAAGGGGAGCTGAAAGGGAAGCTGGAAGGAGAGCTGAAGGGAGAGCTGAAAGGGGAGCTGAAAGGGGAGCTGAAAGGGAAGCTGGAAGGAGAGCTGAAGGGAGAGCTGAAAGGAGAGCTGAAAGGGGAGCTGAAAGGAAGAAACACTCGCTTTCTGGCATGCCAAGCACTTTCGGTTGTATGCCAGAAAGCGAGTGTTGGTTTGTTTCTTTGTTTCCTTGTTTGTGAGCGTAAAACATTACGTTTGTGAGCGCAGAACATTACGAAATCTCTAGAATTATCTCTAGAATTATCTCTAGAATTATCTCTAGAATTATCTCTAGAATTATCTCTAGAGTGATCTCTAGAATTACCTCTAGAATTACCTCTAGAATGATCTCTAGAATGATCTCTAGAATTTCCTCTAGAATTTCCTCTAGAATTACCTCTAGAATCTGTTTTCTCTCTCTAGAAACACAGAGAAAAAGAAAATTAGGTGGAAATCTTGAAAGTTTTGTGGGAAAGTTGTTTGAAAGTTGAAAATCTATGCTTTAAAACTTTTCCGAACATTGAAATTCAGTTAAAATTGAAATCTCAGTTGAAATTGAAATTTCAGGCTCTCCCACACGAAAGCCTAAACGCCGTGCCAACCGTTTCCGAGAACATGATCGATGAGATCAATCGGAAACACTCAAGTCAAGTTGGATGAAGTGAAATTTCTTATTTCAAGAAATCTATTTCTTAAATATCTTCTTTCAAGAAATCTTGCCATAGAACTTGTTTTTTTGAGAATTTTTTGAGATTTTTTTTATAATTTTTGTAAATGCACTGCCATTTTTGGTATTTGTATTATTTAATCACCTTTAATCACTTTTTCCGCTTATTGCCAGCCGATTATCTGCTTCATTTTCGGCTAGCTGATTCTTAGCTAGCTAGCTGACTATCTGGCTATCTGGCTAGCTGGCTATCTGGCTAGCTGGCTATCTGGCTAGCTGGCTATCTGGCTATCTGGCTAGCTGGCTATCTGGCTAGCTGGCTATCTGGCTAGCTGGCTATCTGGCTATCTGGCTAGCTGGCTATCTGGCTAGCTGGCTATCTGGCTAGCTGGCTATCTGGCTAGCTGGCTATCTGGCTATCTGGCTAGCTGGCTATCTGGCTAGCTGGCTATCTGGCTATCTGGCTAGCTAGCTAGCTAGCTGGCGAGCTGACTAGCTTGAATGAAAATGCATAATCGTCTGTGACATATAGTTTAGATTTAAAATTTTTCCTCTCAATTTTACATCCTACAATTTTTCCCGTATTCTCTTTGTAGGTAATGAATAAAATTATAAATAACTACCAAAAAAATCTATCAGAAAGCAAGAGCAAATGTTGCAAAATAAGATCATGAGATTACAATTCCTGTAAATGAAATAGTTCCCTGGAACTTCCTGAAAGTTTCCTGAAAGTTTCCTGAAAGTTTCCTGAAACTTCCTGAAGTTTCCTGAAAGTTTCCTGAAACTTCCTGAAAGTTTCCTGAAACTTCCTGAAGTTTCCTGAAACTTCCTGAAGTTTCCTGAAAGTTTCCTGAAACTTCCTGAAACCTTCAGGTAACCGGCTCGAATTCAACCGTAATATTTTTCTGTGTGTTTATCAATCCAATAGCAAAACGAAAAAGCCACGTTTTTCATAGTTCACGACAGTTTCACTTATTGTTCCATTTCTTAGCAAAACAGAGAAAAGAATGATTTTAACAGAACAGAACGATTTTATGTCTCTTTATTGCCAAAGTTCCTTTCATGCTTTCGGCTTCGGCTTTAGCTATATCGTGGGTGTACAAAAAGGATGAAACTGAACCCGTATGCTACGTTCGAGGAATTTATCTAAGGGAACTTATCTAGGGGAATTCATCTAAGGGAATTCAAAATTTCCCCGGAGAATTTTCCCCTGACATTCCCCGAGCTGGCAGTTAGGCTCGGGGAATTTATCTAGGGGAATTTATCTAGGGGAATTTATCTAGGGGAATTCTAACTTTCCCCGAGGAATTTTCCCCCTGACATTCCCTGGCAGCTACGCTCAAGGTAAGCAAAAAGTGAAATGGGGCTCATAACATAATACGATGTCGTTGTTGCGGAAAAATGCGTTTAAAGTTAAACTATGCGACGATCCGATCGTTATTATAGCGTGGGGGGCACATCGGCGCGAAAATGCGTTTTCTATAGGATTTTTCTGGGAGTACCTTTTTTAGATGCGCAAAATTGTGCTGATTCCGAATCTGAAGGAATTTTCCAAATCCCTCTGACAGAAATTTTTTAAATTGAGTTTTAGCAGTTTTTTGGTCGTTTTGTATGGGAAATTTTGTGGTACCCTGCAGTTTGGAGCTCGTAACTCGACAACGAGGGTCTAGAACCAAAAACGAAGGAGTAGGTCGTATTCTAGAGATTCTTACGAACATTTTGATGCAAAAATCATAAAATTTGCTCAACTCTACAAAAAGTTATAACATCTTTAAAGAAATTTTGCAAAATACACTAAAAACATCAGGGGAAACCGTGGCCGAGTGGTCTAAGGCGCGCGACGTCAATCCAGCGCAAAAGTACGGGGTTGTTGGTTCGACTCTCCCGCGCACTTCAGTCATTATTTTGCATATTCCTTAATTGTTTTGAGTGAATACGATACATAGCTACATTGTTCTTTTGAACAAAACAATTGTGCAATAGAGAATTTTTTAAATTTTCTCATTTCTTCTTTAAAAAATGTTATAACTTTTTGTAGAGTTGAGCAAATTTTATGATTTTTGCATCAAAATATTCGTAAGAATCTCTAGAATAAGACCTACTCCTTCGTTTTTGGTTCTAGACCCTCGTTGTCGAGTTACGAGCTCCAAACTGCAGGGTACCACAAAATTTCCCATACAAAATGACCAAAAAACTGCTAAAACTCAATTTAAAAAATTTCTGTCAGAGGGATTTGGAAAATTCCTTCAGATTCGGAATCAGCACAATTTTCCGCATCTAAAAAAGGTACTCCCAGAAAAATCCTATAGAAAACGCATTTTTGCCTTATTTCGCGCCGATGTGGGGGGGCACATCCGCGCGAAATAAGGCAAAAAAAATCGTTTTCTATAGGATTTTTACGTTTGAATAGCCATTTGACGCAGAAAAATGTGCTGAATTCAATGGTGGAAAAATTATCAAAATCCGTCTGGTAGATTTTTTTAAAATCGCATTTTATCAAAAAAATCGGTCATTTTACACAGAAACGGCCAAACTCACCTGCATTTGGCCCTCCACTACTCGATGATAACAAAAAATTAGGAAATGCCAGGGAGTTGACTTTGTCAAGATGTTGTCTGCGGCCATTTTGAGACCAAAATCGTATTAATTGGTCAACTCAGAAAAAAGTTATAACATTTTGAAGACAAAAATGACGTTTGACGACTTTCTGCGCGCTAAAACGTGGATAATACCGTAACCCTTCCCATGGCGAAAAAAAACTACTTAAAGAGCGCTTGCAAAAGATTTTTTTTTCAGTTCATTTTTCGGGAGTAGAACAAATGCGACCTTTTTTTTGCGCACCCGGACATTTGCGCACCTTTTTTTTTGCTGGAAAAGGCCTTAGGAAAAGTCGTAGAGCTTCAAAAACGTTTTCATAGAAGGAAATCGTATGCGTAGATTCAGAATTTTGACAAATCAGACCTCGCTGACACGTCAAATTTGGGCTAAAAGGCAAAAACTACGCAACTTAACGCTTTTCCGCAGTTTTTGCCTTTTAGCCCAAATTTGACGTGTCAGCGAGGTCTGATTTGTCAAAATTCTGAATCTACGCATACGATTTCCTTCTATGAAAACGTTTTTGAAGCTCTACGACTTTTCCTAAGGCCTTTTCCAGCAAAAAAAAGGTGCGCAAATGTCCGGGTGCGCAAAAAAAAGGTCGCATTTGTCCCACCCCCGTTGTTGATAATAATTCCTGTGTTTCGAAATTAATGAACAAGAATAGTCGTTGTTAAAAGTTTCGTTTAAAAGAATAAAGATATCTTTATCGAAAGCTATCTTTATTCGTTATTCTTTATCAAATTCGAGGCTTAATTGGAAGGAAATTAGTTTGAATGTATCAGTGAGCATTTTTATCAAAAGCTAACTATCCCAGTGTTTTCATTCGAATAACATTTTGGTTTCGAATGCTATTTTACTTGTTTTTCTTGCCGTTTCTCTTTTCTCTTGCGTTTCTTGCCGTTTTTCTCTTTGTTCAACTCTATTTAACACTCAAATTACAGGAACTGTGGTCGCTGCTGAGAAGAGCGCAATGGGCGGCGGGCCAACAAAAAATTGACCCGCCTAGAAGGTAAGAGGGGAATTTTTGATGGCTTTTTGAAAATTTATAAACATTCGTTTGAAATGATTAAGTTTAAAAGTTTTTACTTTAAAGACAAACGTTTAGAATTCTTAAATCTATTCAAAAACATTTTATAGCTTGATAGTTAGATTTGGTTTATTTTTGATTTAAAAGTAAACATTCGTTTGAAATGAGGTTTAAAAGTTTTTACTTTAAAGACAAATGTTTAGATTCCTTAAATCTATTCAAAACATTTTACAGCTTGATAGTTAGATTTGGTTCATTGTTGTTAACGGGGGTGGGACAAATGCGGCCTTTTTTTTTTTGCGCACCTGGACATTTGCGCATCTTTTTTTTTGCTGGAAAAGGCCTTAGGAAAGGTCGTAGAGCTTCAAAAATGTTTCCATACTAGGGAATCGTATGCGTAGATTCCGAATTTCGACAAATCAAAGCAAATGAGACCTCGCTGACACGTTAAATTTGAGCTAAAAGGCAAAAACTACGCAACTTAACGGTTTTCCGCAGTTTTTGCCTTTTAGTCCAAATTTGACGTGTCAGCGAGGTGTGATTTGTCCAAATTCGGAATCTACGCATACGATTCCCTTATATGGAAATATTTTCGAAGCTCTACGCCCTTGCCTAAGGCCTTTGCCAGCAAAAAAAAGGTGCGCAAATGTCCAGGTGCGCAAAAAAAAGGTCGCATTTGTCCCACCCCCCGTTGTTAACTTAACAATAAACATTTACTTAATGATGAATAATATTTTTATTTAGAAGGATGGAGCTGGTGGACGCGATCGAGATTCCGCGCGTCGGCAACGTCTTCCTTCGACAGGGACCGCGACGAGAACAACGGGGATCGCTGATTTTGATGGGTGAGTGAGAAATAAAGCTGTAAAATGGTCTAAAAGCCCTGGTTGGAGTTTTGTTAGGGTGAGACTGTAAAAGTTAGACACTTTTCAGTATAAAAGTTTAGACTTGTGTTGAGCCTAGAGATGCTTAACGGTAAATAACCATTTAGAACCTATCAAAAAATTATTGAAAGCTGATCAACCTTATAACATTAATCTATCATGCAAGAGTTTGTTTAAAAGTTTGAAAGCTTGAAGCTTGTAAACTTGAAACTTTTATTTACAAGTACATATACATTAGACTTGCTTAACGAGACAGATCAGAAAATCGGATTGCACAACTCCAGGCGCTTGCTCTAGCCTCCAGAGTATCGGATTCCAATGAACTTTTTTTTTATTTAAAAGCCAAGATTTTAATCTATCTAATCATACTCATCACTTATATTTTTCTTTTGAAAAAGTGGGTCGAAAACTTTATCGAGACTTGCCGAGACAATTCCTCGTTATCTCGTTAAGTCTCATGGCTTTTGACCCACTTTTTCCCAAGAAAAATATAAGTGATGAGTATCATTAGATAGCGTAAAATCTTGGCTTTTAAATATTAAAAAATTCGTTGGAATTCGATGCTCTGGAGGCTAGATCAAGCGCCTGGAGTTGCGCAACCCATTTGACTCGTTGATTCTCGTTAAGCAAGTCTAATATACGTTTTAAAAAAGGTACTTTAACGTTAGCTAGTAGAAGAATCAAGAGTCGAAATTTTCAAGGAAATATATGATGAAATAGTTGGTCACGACTTTTTGTTAATTTCTATCAATTACCGTTAATTACCGTTAAGAAAAGACTTTTTGGACAAAATGATCGAAATCTGTTTACCCGTTGAAGTTAGATTATTGATGTAGGGTCGGAAACGAAAGCTAGAATCAAGAGCTATTGAGGGAACCAGGCGAAAGTTCTTTGAAATGTTACAATTTTCGTTAATGTTGGAAACGCCGTCGCTAAGATCGATTTTACCGTTAAGCATCTCTATTTTAGCACCGATTTACCAGCTCCATTTCACCTTGAGAATCAATCAACAATGTAGGAAATTGGATTAAGATATAAAATAAACTTTCGATTCAAATTGAAAACCTTTTTTCATTCAGGCCATCACATGATCTTCGCTCCACAAGCCGATTCATCAAACGATCCAAACAACACGGCGAATAAGGAGGAGTTCTGTGTGAGTTTTAGATTAGAAGTGCTACTATTAATTTGTACAACTTTAGATTCTTCATCGAATGATCGATCGCGTTGTTAGCGAGCCCCGATCGCGTGATCCAAACTCGAAAGGAGGGATCTTGACGCTAAAGTGCAAGAATTTTATGATGTAAGTTTTATGCTCTAGTTTGAGAAAATAACTTTTGACTTTTTTTAGTTGCGTCTTCGAGGTACTCGAGCTGGACGAGTGTATGGCTGCGGCGAGAACAATCGAAACGTTGAGCAATTTGAGTGAGTTTAAGCAAGTTGAGCTAAATTTTAAGGAATTTGCATGAAATTGAGCGCTAAAAGAACCAGAAATAGTTTGCTATAGTCGTTGAGCCTTTTGGGGTTAAAGATATAATCAAACAACTGCATCTATTCAACTTTTTCATTTAGACGGTTTCTCTCTCGACTACCCATTCTTCTATCGATGCCCGTTTACGATTCTCGACGATGGATGGAGAGCATTTGATGTTGAAAGTGAATTCGCGAGGGTTTCCATGAATGCACCCGAAATGTTTCGTGTCTCGGAGGTGAATAAGGATTTCAAGGTGAGTGAGGTCGATTAAGAAATAAAATCAGGCTAAATTTTAAATGTTTCAAACAAACATTCAAGGATTATACAGAGTTGAGCAAAATTACCCGGAAAACTTTTTGGAAAAGTAGTTATCACACGCTTAATTGATTTCAAAGTGTCAAGCGTTATGTAGAGAATTGTAGCCCTTAATCTTGGCTACATTTATCTACTAAAAACTTGCCAATCGGATGTATATAGCTCATTTGACAAGCGCTTGAATGAGCACTAGTCGACCAATATCCATCACGCTGCCTTTTTTGACGATTTTCCACATAAAATTTTTATCTAAGAAGGGCTTTATCTAGTAAACTTTGTGTGCATTTTGTTCAAAAGATTATTTCTAACAATAACAGCTAATATAACGAGATACTCATGTGCAAAATATCAAAAAATGATCAAATTTCACCTTTTTCCCTGCGTCTTCAAAGAAGCTAGCTTGATTTTGGTTATATCTGGCTAGCCTAGACAGTTGAAAGTTATCTTCAATATTATTAATGATGTTAAATGATATTTTTGCATAAAATAAGTATTGACAAATCTTTCGGGCAATTTTTTATGTAGAAAATGATCAAAAAAAGGCAGTGCGATGGATATTGGTCGACTAGTGCTCATTCAAGCGCTTGTCAAATGAGCTATATACTTCCGATTGGCATGTTTTTAGTAGATAAATGTAGCCAAGATTAAGGGCTACAATTCTCTATACAACACTTGAGATTTTGAAATCAATTAAGCGTGTGATAACTACCTTTCCAAAAAGTTGTCCGGATAATTTTGCTCAACCTAAATTAACTAAAATCAAATCACAGGGATTCACATCAACTGATTCGTTAATTCTGTTAATTAAATATTAGTAATTGATTCAAATAGTGTCATTTCCATGTTGTAAATTTCAACAAATTACTCATTCAGGTTTGTGCATCTTATCCGGAGAAGGTGATCGTTCCGCGAGGAATTGGCGACGACTATCTGAGGATTTCGGCCACATTTCGTGATGGAGGACGTTTCCCGGTGTTGGCCTACTTTCACAGACATACAAAGGTTTGTTTTGGTCATGAAAAAGCTGAATCTTTAGTTTGCAAAAAGCCCGGTATTTGTTTTAACGAATTTGATTTAGTCACCGATCTTCCGATGCAGCCAGCCGCTAATCGGACCAACAAACAGACGGTGTAAGGTAAGCTTAATATTATTAATGTTATTAAGCTTACCAACACAAGCTTATAATGTTTTGAGTTGGATTCTGCTTATTCAATTATTAGCTGCTTATTAGCTTATTCAATTACCAATTTTAGGAAGATGAGACGATTCTGAATGCTCTTCTTTCAATTGCACGAGGGATTATCATCGACACGAGAAGTAAAGTGAATGCACAATCGGCTAAAGCTAAAGGCGAGTCTAGAAAAATCATAGTTTAAAGGGTATAAGATCTTTGAGTTGAATAAGCTAATATTTGAGCTGATCTTTAAGCTCTTTGAGCTGAATCTTTGGATCCGGTTTAATCATTTTTTTACAGGAGGTGGCGCCGAGACGCAACAATGCTATTCGCAATGGCGTTATGTCACTTGTGGAACACCGAGGATCAAGGATTTGCACGATTCGCTGGCGAAAATGGTTGATGGTGGGTGGTATGAAGATTTTCTACAACAAACTTAAAACTTAAAGACTGCACGCAGATCCCTGGCACATTAAATACACGTCATTTTAGTCTCGATCGACAAGTCAGTTTCATCGGATCGTTGGCTTTCCCGTCTCGCCTCATCATCATGGCTTTCTTCAATCGCCGATTATCTAAACGCGGCCGCGAATGTGGCTCAATGCGTTGCATGTGAAGGTACCCAAGGTGCGTTGTGGAGAAACAAGTGATTCGAGGCTTTTTTTATGATTTAAAATTTATTTGATTTCTTTTCACACGCCTGCTTTAGCATTTTGATTTTATTTGGAGAAGACACCCTGGCTGAAAATTGTTATGCCTGCGTTGATTGAGTTGATAGTACTTTTTTAGTTTTTATCTCACCAAACCTTTGAATTCTGTAGGGAAATTCGCATACAGCTTTCTTTAGCTTTTGCAAAAATGTTTGATGTTTGGTAAGAGACACATGAAAAAGTACTATGTTTATATTGTTAACAATTTTGGCCGCTTGATAGATTTATTTTTTATCTTTTAGAAGTCCCAGTCGTTGTTCATGGTGGTGAGGGTGTTGATTCGACGATTCTCGTCACTTCATTGGCGCAAATGATTCTTGATCCAGACGCGAGAACGATTCGAGGGTGAGTTTCATGATATAAATGAAACTCATGATATTGAGAAGTTAGTACATTGAATATTCTGAAATCAAAACTATGTTTGATAGCGTTATGTTAAATCATCCTTACTCTGATAGAAATATTCACTTTTATATGAAAGTTTATGGATATTCAGCCAATATTATACTTTCAAAGTGTCTCCCTAAACTCTAGTTGAATATCTGTTAATTTTGTGGAAAAATTCAGACAAAGCTGTGAAAGCTACGAAGGCCCGCTCTTTTTTCTGTGTAGATTTTTTGTGGCTGCCCCTTTTGTTTGAGATTCTCCGCGAAACTAGAAGATATTCAGCTGAGTGGGCAAGGGGGACACTGAAAGTATAGCTAATATAATGTAATAACATTAAACCTTTAAGATATTGGGGGTGGCTACTTTGCGCCAATTTTTTTGCGCAACTCGTCATAACTTTCTTTTAAGTGGACGAATCTTTATGATTTTGGTGTCATTTTGTTACACTTGTTGAGATCTAAAAAATGACACCAAAATCATAAAGATTGGCCGACTTAGAAGAGAGTTATGGCGAGTTGCGCAAAAAAAATTGGCGCAAAGTAGCCACCCCAAAATATTAAGCTATGATATTTGAAAAACCTTTCCTTTTTCAGATTCCAATCACTGATCGAACGGGAATGGATATGTGGAGGTCATCCGTTTAGTTTACGCAATGCACATTCGGCGTTTGCTGAGGGCACGATCACTGGACCCTACGAGGCGCCTGTCTTCTTGGCTTTTCTCGATTGTGTTTGGCAGGTGAGGGGTTGGAATAAAATTTTGAATAAAACTTCAGTCTATTTCGTTGTTTAACTGGGAAAAGTTAGTTAGAACTTATGATGAATAAGAGGTTTACTACTGAAAGCTTACCACATTGACAATATTTTCTTTTAGTTAACGCAACAATTCCAACATTCGTTCGAATTCACCGAGGGCTTTCTTCTGGATCTCTTCGAACACTCATACGCATCGGAATTTGGCTCATTTTTGGGCAACAATGAAATGGTAAGCGTTTAAGATAAAAGCAACAATATTTTATGTTTAGGAGAAACAAAAACATCAAGTACGACAACACACGGTCTCGTTGTGGTCCTATGTGAATAATCCGGAGATTCTCAAATCGTACGTGAACGTCCTTTACGAGCCGAATGAAAGTGTCACATGGCCGAGCGTGGCACCGCAAAGCATTGTAAGTTTTTTTTTGGTTTGCTTTTAAAATATTTGGAGCAAAAAAAGAAATTTTAATTCAATGACACTTTATGAATCCTGTCTCAAACATGCTAAGTAGTCATTTTTATGCAAAATTAAAGAACCTATTATGAATTTAGTGTTTTATTTGCGGTCTAGTTTCGAAGATTTTCTTCTTTAGCAAGTATGGGAACGTCTCTTTCTACGATGGCAACGCGATTGGACTGAGGTGAATGCGATTCGTGAAGCGGCTGTACAATGGAGATTGAAGGAGAGACAATTGGCGAGCAAGGCCTTATCGTTGAGGAGGTAAGCGAGGCTGTTCTTTTGAGCTGGAGAGCTGACACGTTATGAATCCCGTCTCAAACATCTTAAGTAGGCATTTTTTTAATGCAAAATCTCTCGTAAAGGGGTTGCCACAAAGTTTAAATTACAGCTTAAATTTCAATCACTTTTTGAGTCGAATATAGTAATTAGATTTAGCAAGCAAGCAAGCAATTGTTTAACAAGAAATTTTAGCAAGCAGCAATTGTTTAACAAGAAATTTTAGCAGGCAGCAAAACTACTCCAAATTTCCTTCATTTTAGGCAACTCGTCGAATTGATGAAAGAGGCACATTTGGCAAAAACGCTCAACGATGTCCGCGTGGCTGATTGATGAAAGAAATTTTGCAACTTCTACGAGCTTAATACGAAATAATTTATAATGTAACGGAAATTTCCACGTTTTGATTCATTTTGTCTAGTTTCACGTTTTTCCTCCCAGATCTCCACCAAAAATTCATTGTGATTTTTTCTTTTTTTTCCCTAGTCTGCCATTTCCTGAGTGTTAATAAGTGTTTATAAGAAATTTACCGTTAGTTTTGAGTATTCCGCGATTGCACAAAGATTTCCCACACATTTTCCTGTCAAAAATCGACGTCTTTTCTCTTAATGGTGCTTTTTTGCTGCAAATTCCCTCCATTTCCCCGAAAATTCTCTTAGATTTGTGATATGTTGCTGGATTTGTGAAATTAAAACTGTCTTGATCCTAGAAAACGTTTTCTTGCATTCAGATCTTACGACAAAATGATCTTTTGGTGTTAAATGTTGAAAAGCTTTGCTTTTAAGGTCACAGAAAAACGAAAGTAAACTTAAAATAGCTGTTAGAAGTGACATTGAGTAGGATAATTGTCTTAAATTTAAACCTCATTCTGACAGTGTCGGACTTTTGTCGCAAAATTTCATTGTCATTTCAAAATTTGATAGTTTGATCGATTGGACTTGGGGCGTTTTATTGTTTATAAGTTTTTATCGTTATTTTCATTTATTTATTCATTTATTTTTAAACTTTTAGTGCTAAATTTAGCTAACTTTCTTACATTTTAAGTGCTTTTGTCGGTTAGAAAGTTTGATTAAGCGTTTCTTTTGTCCAATTTTTTTCATCTATATCTGAGTTCGAACCATAAAGGTTAACTTTTGGTTAAACCTTTAGTTAAATTTAGCCGTTAATCGATATTGTAACGTTTTGATGGAAATTTTGCGAAATTTTTAACCCTGTTAGTTTTTGGAAAATTTGTTTTGTGTCCACATTGTTCTAGGTGATTAAAAAGTGCAGTTTTTCATGATGCAGTAGATGTTTCGAATTGAGCGATTGAATTTGAGCAGCTACTTCAAGCCCAAAGCAAGATTGAAGCAAGATTGAAGCAACTTGGCATCGTCGGTACTCGTCTTGTTTGGATCCTTTAAGAAAAACCCCAACAATGAACGGTCCTGTCTGATTGTTGTTTTAGGTGATCGATCACTTTTTGAATGTTGTTGCACATTTCCCTCTAGTTTTTGTCGTTTACAAAGCCTGGTTCCTTTTTGTCTCCAATTCGATTCCTTTTCTCTGTACAGATTTGGTTCCTTTTCTCTACAAATTCCGTTCCTACTTTATCAACGATAAAGTAGAGCGATCAACGATAAAGAGATCACAAATGGTCGTCACTTTCATCCCTCCTTGACGAGCTTTGACAATTTTTTCCTTAGTCGGAGTGTCCAGATATCGGAATATGGAAAAAAAAAGCTCGTAGGGAATCTAAAAAATAAATTAATGCACAAAAAATAAAAACAGACAAACAAAAGTCAGAAAACAAAAAGAAAAAGTTTACAAAAGAATACAACGATGGTGCAAGACTTTCTTTTTTGCGCTCTAAACCGAGTTTCTCTAATAAAACTCATTTTTTATGTCAAAAGAAATAAATTGCAATAAAAATGAATAATATAGTCGGAAACTAGACCACCATGGTAGAATTAGTTGCCAAAAAGGTTTCTCTGTTTTTTTTTGTTTTAAACCTTTGGGAGACAATGGTGCAAGACTTTTTTTGCTGACTATAAGTGCCAATTTTTAAATTAATTGCCCAGTCTAGCTAGTAAAATAAACATTTTGAGCAAAATTCTTTCGTTTCTTTTCTAAGTCACCACGCTTTTTTCAAAGATTAACTCTTTTTTTTTACAGGTTGAATGATGTCAAGCGAAATGCTGTTCAAGATGGGGAGAATGAAGAAGTTTCCAATTGAAAGGCTCCCGTAAGAATTGAAATTGGAAGTTCTGAAGGAAATGGAGCACTACGATTCGAGCAGGTTACTGCAAGTGAAGCAAGTATTTCGAGCGATGATTCTCAGCCGATCAGCGATGATTTTTGGATATCGCGTGGAGAGAATCGAACTCGGATTTCAATACACGTTTCAATACCCGTTTCAATACACGTTTCAATACACGAATCTCGGAATTCTCACCAACAACGATGAGGTTCGGATCTGCAAATTTCCTGGATCAAGTTGTCACTGTCACACACAACCAAGATCAAGCTGTCGAGTCTGGAGATCAGTCGACGATTTCCGCTCATCAAGAATATCAAGTTCATGCAACACGTTGTGATTCGAAATTGAATACGAGTGACTCGACGAACATTACATCACAATCATGAAACATGAAACCATGCCCATAGCCCTGGCTTGAGCTTGGCTTGAGCTTTTGGCCTGGAGGACCAAGAGGATTGACGATGAGTCTGACCAGGAGGATTGACTCTGCCAGTTTTTAGTCTCATTCGTCGTGGAGACAAATTTCCAGTCCAGGTCTGATCCAAGTCGAAGCCAGGTCTGATCAGGGTACGCTTATCGCTAGTTTCTATCGCATATCCATTTCTCTACTTGTTTCCAGATTTTCTCACTTTCATCGCAAAAGTTCTCTGCTTTCCCCCGCCGTCCAATTATGAGTTCTGAATAATGGATGAACTTTGAGCAAAAAAAGGGAAAAAATTTCTTTACCCAATAAGGAAGTGTGTGTGTGTGTGTGTGTGTGTGTTTCAAGAAGAAAACTTTTTCACACGCGTTTTTTTTTACAGCTTAAAAGCGTAGTTGAGTAGAGTAGCTCTTGAGTGAAGTGATCGGTTCAAAAATATGTTTTCTCGATTCTCGTCTTTAAAAGCTTGGCGATTCGTCTGTGAAACTGAGACTGAGACGAGATTTCTTGCTATAAACTCTCGTCTCGCTCAGAATCACTCGCAAATTTGAGAGAGATCCTGAGCTCAAATTTTCCTCAATCCCAGCGGACTTAATTTGTTATTAGATAAAAAATAATTAAATAAAATTTTCCTTAATTCCCCTTTCCCGCGAAAATTTCCCTGTTTTAAGTACTTGATTTTGGGGTTTTAATGCGACCAAATACCTATCAATTAACCCATTAAAAACTTGTCTAAAAGCTGGCCAATTCAGCTAAAGAAATCTCTGATTTTTTACCTGAAGCTCACTTTGATTTTTGATCAAAAACTTTTTGAAAGTTTATCGAAAAAATTTCGGAAGAATTTATGGCTTGGTTTTTGAGCAATCATCGTGCAAACTTTTTCTATGAACTTTCTTGCCAACCTACCGTAAATAATGTAATAGTACCCCACGATCATAATGACGGTGCGGAGCGTTGCGTAGTCTAGCTTTGAACGAGTTTTTCTCGACACTGGTTTATGCTACAATGCGCGTTTAGGTATCAAAAAATAGCTGAAATTCAGGGCTATTTTTTGATACCAAAGACGCATTTTTTGAAAGTACGGGTGCTTTGCAAAAAAATTAAATACTAAAAACTTTTTGCGACTACCCGACTGTACGAGGGAGGTGGGGTACTATTATAGTATTTACGGTAGCTTTGTTTGGGCTTCACCTAGCTTGGCCTGACTTTGAAAAATGTTGACTTTCCTGCTTTCCTGGGCTTGAGATAAGAGTTTTTAGGAATATTTCACGAAATAAAGCCTACTCTTCATGATGCCTACTCTTCAATAAAGCCTACTCTTCAATAAAACCTATTTTGAAATCATCTGGCCTCTAATTTACATTTCTTTTTGAGTTTCAAGCTTTGTTCCATAAAGAGCTGACCATATCATTTAGAGACGGGAAATTCGAGAGCTTTTCCTCAGCTTTGTTTCTTTTTTTTTGGTTTGAGATCAAATTTCTAGAATTTCTAGAATGGCTAAATTTCTATTTGACGTTGATTCTCGAAAAGGAGATGATCAAGTGTTCGGTTTGACTTTAAAAATCAGTTACCTACTGGTTTTCTAAATCACGTCCCCTTTTGCCAACGTAAGCTGTGTTTCTACCGTAATCTTGGCTCTATTTTTTATTCAATTTATTCATTTTTTGGTTTAATTCTGTAAGGGTTCACAAAAGATATCGAAAAATAGAAAAAGTAAATGGATTAGATGAAAATAGAGACAAGATTACGGTAGAAAGGGAAAAGGGACAGCAAACGGGGTTAGAAGAGAGCTTTTTCATTAAGCTCTCTTCTATTTTTTCCAGTTTTTTCCATTTTACTCTTTGTTCTTTTATTTTTGATTGAAGTTGTAATTTAGATTCAGATTTAGATTATTCTCCGCAAGATGAATCTTCGCTCATTTCTTCTCGTCATTTTCTCGATTCTCTTCGGCATTGCTCAGGGTTTTCGCGGTGGAAATGGACGCCCATTATTCAGTGAGTTGAAAGGGAAAAGATAGACTGAAAATAGTGAAATAGTGATGAGATTGGGACTATTCTTAAAGAAGAAGAATGAAGAAGAAGAAGAATTTCTTTACGCTATTTTGAGGTTATCTTTTTGAGGCTTTAAAAAATGAGCTTTGAGCTTTAAAAAATTAGTTTTGAGCTTTAAAAATAACCCTAATCTTACTGGCTTTTATGAATTTAACACATTCGCGACGAGGCGTTTTTTTTGCGTTACTTCCCCAGTCGACGAGGGGTTAGCTAGCCCCAAAGCTAGCCCCAAAGCTAGCCCCAAAGCTAGCCCCAAAGCTAGCCCCAAAGCTAGCCCCAAAGCTAGCCCCAAAGCTAGCCCCAAAGCTAGCCCCAAAGCTAGCCCCAAAGCTAGCCCCAAAGCTAGCCCCAAAGCTAGCCCCAAAGCTAGCCCCAAAGCTAGCCCCAAAGCTAGCCCCAAAGCTAGCCCCAAAGCTAGCCCCAAAGCTAGCTAGCTTTAGCCCCGAAATACACCTCCTATATATAAAATTTCATACTGAATCCGAATCTCTAATCAGATTTCTAACGAGTAAAACTCTAACGAGTAAAACAAGCTTTAAACGAGTAAAACAAGCTTTAAGCTTTAAAACAAGCTTTAAACGAGTAAAACAAGCTTTAAACGAGTAAAGCGAGCAATTCATAGCGTAAAGCGAGCTTTAAACGAGTAAAGCGAGCTCTAAACGCGTAAAGCGACAAAGCGACAAGCTCTAAACGCGTAAAGCGACAAAGCGACAAGCTCTAAACGCGTAAAGCGACAAAGCGACAAGCTCTAAACGCGTAAAGCGACAAAGCGACAAGCTCTAAACGCGTAAAGCGACAAAGCGACAAGCTCTAAACGCGTAAAGCGACAAAGCGACAAGCTCTAAACGCGTAAAGCGACAAAGCGACAAGCTCTAAACGCGTAAAGCGACAAAGCGACAAGCTCTAAACGCGTAAAGCGACAAAGCGACAAGCTCTAAATGCGTAAAGCGACAAAGCGACAAGCTCTAAACGCGTAAAGCGACAAAGCGACAAGCTCTAAACGCGTAAAGCGACAAAGCGACAAGCTCTAAATGCGTAAAGCGACAAAGCGACAAGCTCTAAACGCGTAAAGCTCTGAATTAAGAGTTTTGCCGCTCGGAAATCGTCGAAAATTCCCTCAAAATTCCCTCAAATTCTAGAAACGATTCGTCGAACGCGTTTGAATAGAAAACAAGAAGGTATTTGGCATGAAAAGAAATGGGAAAATGGAAAAATGGGATAGAAATGGGATAGAAATGTTTCATTGAAAAGGCCTACCCAAAAACCATCATTTTCAGGTGTCTCAAGCATGGATTTAGCCGATTTCTCTCAATACGCCAATTCGGATTCGCCTTCTTTCAATTACGGTCGACCATTGCAGACGAGATTCGGCCGAAGTGGCCGATTGTTGTGAAGGGAAATGAAGAGAAAAAAAAGGGAAATGACAGAGAAAATTTGGAAATTTTTTCGAATAAATATATTCTGTTTTTTTTAAAAAAAATCTCTGCACAATGTTTTCATCGTTTTTGAAAAGGAAGCTACCGTAATCTTCCTTTGTCTGATTCGCTTGTTTTTGAGCTCATTCGACTCAGAATTTGATTCGGCATCGAATGAAATGAAAAATTGCAGGTAATAACTAGAAATAACCCGTCCTAACAATAACAATGACAACAATAAAATAACAGTCCGTTCGAGGGTCAGGTTTCTGTTAACTCCGTCTGTCTGTCTGTCCATCTGTCCGTCTGTCCGTCTGTCCGTTCGTTCGTCTGTCTGTCCGTCTGTCCATCCGTCCGACTTTCCATCCGCCCGTCTGTCTATCCGCCTGTCTGTCTATCCGTCCGTCTGTCCATCCGTCTGTCTATCCGTCCGTCTGTCCATCCGTCTGTCTATCCGCCCGTCTGTCTATCCGTCCGTCTGTCCATCCGTCCGACTTTCCATCCGCCCGTCTGTCTATCCGCCCGTCTGTCTATCCGTCCATCCGTCCGTCTGTCCATCCGTCCGTCTGTCTGTCCATCCGTCCGTCTGTCTATCCGTCCGTCTGTCCATCCGTCTGTCTATCCGCCCGTCTGTCTATCCGTCCGTCTGTCTATCCGTCCGTCTGTCTATCCGTCCATCCATCCGTCTGTCCATCCGTCCGTCCGTCCGTCCATCCGTCCATCCATCCATCCTCTATTCACAACAGTCTAGGTGAATTTAGCCTAGCCTGATGTCACTTGGGCAGAGGTCTTTCACTTCAATAACCTGCAAATCATCGATCCGGGTGATAAATTCCAAAATCTTGTCAACGAGTGTCTTGGTGTCGAGTGTCTTTTCGATTCATTTATTCCAGTCCAGTTCAGTCAACTTTTTCCGAGGACTTTCTTTTCAACCTAATATAATCAAAGTTCTATTAGAATTTTGGCTTCTAGTAAACCCAGGATTTTCTTTTCCTTAAACTACAGTAATCTCAAGTTGGCTAAGTATTAGAAAACAATTGAATTGGACTTTTTCTGAAGCTATTCTAGTGCAAGCCGTCTTTCCAAAGCGCCATCTTTCCAAAGCGCCATCTTTCCAAAGCGCCATCTTTCCAAAGCGCCATCTTTCCTAGCAAAGCGCCGTCCTAGCAAAGCGCCGTCCTAGCAAAGCGCCGTCATAGCAAAGCGCCGTCCTAGCAAAGCGCCGTCCTAGCAAAGCGCCGTCCTAGCAAAGCGCCGTCCTAGCAAAGCGCCGTCCAGCAAAAGCGCCGTCTAGCAAGCGCCGTCCTAGCAAAGCGCCGTCCTAGCAAAGCGCCGTCCTAGCAAAGGCGCCGTCTAGCAGAGCGCCGTCCTAGCAAAGCGCCGTCCTAGCAAAGCGCCGATCCTAGCAAAGCGCCGTCCTAGCAAAGCGCCAGATCCTAGCAAGCGCGCGTCTAACAGAGCGCCGTCCTAGCAAAGCGCCGTCCTAGCAAAGCGCCGTCTAGCAAAGCGCCGTCCTAGCAAAGCGCCAGTCCTAGCAAGCGCCGTCCTAGCAAAGCGCCGTCTAGCAAAAGCGCCGTCTCTAGCAAGCGCCGTCCTAGCAAAGCGCCGTCCTAGCAAAGCGCCGTCCTAGCAAAGCGCCGTCCTAGCAAAGCGCCGTCCTAGCAAAGCGCCGTCCTAGCAAAGCGCCGTCCTAGCAAAGCGCCGTCCTAGCAAAGCGCCGTCTACTATCGGATCATTTTCCCCCTTTAATCTTTTGCTTATTTTACCAGAATAAGCTAAAATCTTTATTCAAATAAAAAGCAAACTACATTGAAGCAAAAAAAAAAGTACAAAACTACGTGTTATCTATTAGAAAAATGTTAAAAACTAAAAAAAACTACGAAAATTACATACAGATGCGCTTAAAATAGGGAATTTTTATGGATTTTTGAATATTTTTCAAAAAAATAAATATAGATTTGTGTAAAAGAAAGGATTTAAATTTTGAAATTTAAAAAAATTAAAAAAAAAAGATTTTTTGGTCGCAGCCGGCATCGAACCAGGGTTCAATCTCACCGAAGCAGCGAAAAGAATTCACGCAAGAGAATGGCTTAGGAAAAAGAGTGCTTTAGATTTCGACTACAAATTACGACTACAAATTATCCGAGCAAGTTGACCATCGGTGGGAGGTGATCGTGTTGGACGTTCTTGCGGTTGATCGAGAAATTGCGAGCGTGATGCTGAAAAAGGGAAATCTTTGGAAAAAGAGCCTAAGTGGCCAGTCCGCCTAAAAGGCCAGGCCTTTACAAAGGCTAATCCGTCAAATCCGACACAAATCACACCTGAACCATGGCCAAGCTTTAGCGGCTAAGCCGGCTCATTGCTTGATTAAAGTCAAACTTTGACAAACATCGAATCAGAGCAATTAGCTCTGGACGAAAAATTGTCCAAGCAAAATTTACATGTTAAAAACAAAAAATTGTTTAGCTTTTTGAATTTTGACTAATCCTGGATAACACATAGACTTTTGAAAAAGGTTATCTAATGTTTTTAGCTTTTAAAATTTTAGGACCAGGGCCAGGATCAAGTCCGACCAAAATTTGCATGTTAAAATCAAGAATTCTCTATTTTTTTTTGAATTTTTGAGAATCCTGGATAGCACATAAACTTTTGAAAAGGTTATCTAATATTTTTTAGCTTTTAAAAGTTCAGGACCAGGGCCAGGCCCAGGTCCGACCAAAATTTGCATGTTAAAACCAAGAATTCTCTATTTTTTTTTGAATTTTTGAGAATCCTGGATAGCACATAGGCTTTTGAAAAGGTTATCTAATGTTTTTTTAGCTTTTAAAAGTTCAGGACCAGGGCCAGGTCCAGATCCGACCAAAATTGGCATGTTAAAATCAAGAATTCTCTAGTTTTTTTAAAACTATCGATAATCCTGGATAGCACATAGACTTTTGAAAAGGTTATCTAATGTTTTTTTAGCTTTTAAAATTTCAGGACCAGGGCCAGGCCCAGGTCCGACCAAAATTTGCATGTTAAAACCAAAAATTCTCTAGTTTTTCAATTTTTACTAATCCTGGATAGCACATAGGCTTTTAGAAAAGGTTATCTAATGTTTTTTTAGCTTTTAAAATTTTAGGACCAGGACTAGCGCCAAG